CTTACATTTAGTGTTATTTAAAGGTAATGCAACTTTATATACTCAAACTATAAACTTGCTCTCATATTTTTCTATACAATCTCGAGTCTGACTCCTTAACACTTAGTGGCTTACATTCTAAGAACGTCTCATGCACAAACATATATACATTGACTGACTTCACAGTCATAGCGCTCACGGCCATCTCCTGCACCACTGGAGAAGACCGTGTATGACTTATGGTTTATCCAAATATGCAAGAGCAAGGCTTGCGTAGACATAAGAGGAGTCGGGATTTGTTGGCCACATCTCCATACAAAAATTGAGGTCGACAATAAAATATAATCAAGACAAGATCTAAATTCAATGAAGCAAGGAATCTTAGCTCCCATCTGGAGAAAAATGCAAAACAAACCAGGATGGGGCTTTTGCCATCTCTATCCACAAATTGTATTTTAGCACCCCATCAAAAATGATTTTTCCATTAATTATAATTTCTTCTTGACTTCACCATCTCCCGGACCCAATCTCACTATGTTTAACATTAAATAAAATTGAAAATAATGTGAAATTTAAGCAAAGGTACAAGTTCCTTGTATTTCAAATGAAAAAAATATAGATCATGCATGACCACATCCTGCAAAGAGGGGACCACAAATTAGAAAGAACTGGTACCAATCATTTTTTAACAGGAAATATAAGGTAATTTCCTATAAAACGCGTCTTTGACTACATTAGGCCATTATGTTGCATAATTGGTATGTTAGTCCTGCTTTCTAGACTTGCACTCAGTTGAGAAATACTTATTTAAGAAACAGTTTTATATTAAACTAAACTTTAAATTAGACTATAGTAAGAGGACAAAGAATCATATAATAGTTAAATTTCATTGGTGGCACGGGCGGACCCACATGGGGTCATGTGGGGTCAAATGACCCCACAGTTTTCTGATTTTTTTTTTTTTTTTTTGTGCTGAAAACTTAATTTTCTGCCTCAAAAAGTCTAAATTCTAAATCTATATCCATATCACATGGTCCATATCCATTATTTAGTCCATAAATACATCATATAATCCAACGATTTCTTCCCAAAGTGCACATATCGAATATGAACAGTAAACAACTGATTTTTCCTTTTTTTTCATTATACGTTGTTCGAAAAAAAAAATTTTGACCCCACAGTTCAAATGGTCTGGGTCCGCCCCTGATTGGTGGTTACTGAATTTTCAACAAAACCTCAATAGAGTCACAAAACTTTATTTTGTAACTAATTTGTCTAAAGTTATAAACTTCATTTAGTTTTAAATTTCACTATGTTGTGTTACTTAAAATCTTCCAAATTGAAGAAAATTTCCTATTTGATAGCTATACTGCAATGGATCTTCCACATTCATTATGTACCATGTGAGTTTACCATTATTTCATGTCATCTGTAATTTTTTGAATCTAAAGAAAATATTATAACCCTCCTTTTAGCACTTCTTTTTTAGGGTGCTAAGTAATGTGTTAGTACCTATATGGATGCCAACTAAGCAATTTCGTCAATTTGGGGATGATATGTGACAGAGTGATGAAATTTGAAATTAATTTATTATTTATTTATTTTTAAGGTGCCACGTAGCATCAATTACTCTATGTCACCAACTAAGCAATTTCAATCAATTTTGGGCATGACGTGATGATGTGTGAATGAGTGGTGAAATTTGAAACTAAATTGAAGTTCGGTGTAACAATGAGATTTAACTGAAATTTCAGGAACCGCGGAGAGAATTCATCCTTATTTAATTAATCAAGTATGGCATCACAGTAGTTGTATCTTATGTTATAGAAGATTCCTCTTAAATTCAAAACTTAGTGTACTTAGGTGGATGAAATTAGTCCCATATGATTAAGAGTTTTATCTTATTAATTTTCGTCAATTTAAGATTGACTTAAAAAATAAAAATGTGAAGTGAAGCTGAAACTACTTGTTCAATTTCTCAGAAAGTACCTGTATCATACAAGTGCTAATATAAATTAAGTAGTTCATGTTAGTAAAGAAGGTTGAGAAAGCATTGAGTCACAAATGTCTGTGCCTAAGTATCCTGGGTTGTCAGAAGAAGTTGAGGAGAGTTATGAGACTGCAGACACAATGGACCCCAAGCTATACAGGGCGACAACAGGCGGTGACATACTTGAATTCGTGAGGGCAATGGAACATGTGACGGTCGATAGGCATCACGATCCACCAGCTACCTGTGTCCAACTCGGGCCTCAAAAGACGACAGTTCTGCATATAGCAACGAGCTTTGGGCATCACGAAATTGTTAAACTTATTTGCAAGGATTTAACTTTCTTGGTTGCTGACAAGAATGCGAGAGGGGATACCGCACTCCATATTGCAGCCAGAGCTGGAGATTTACTGATGGTGCAGATATTAATTCATTCAGAATACAAAGAAGGTGGCTTAGGAGAAAAGAATGAAAAAGGCAATACGGCTCTACATGAAGCTTTGATATTTAGCCATGAGGAAGTGGCTCGAATTTTAATCGAGAAGAACCTAAATATGGAGTATTCGCATAACAAGGCAGGCAAATCTCTGCTGTATCTGGCTGCGGAAGCGGGATTTGTCACCATTGCCAAGCTCCTATTAGAAAATCCTGTGGGGAATTACAATGTTGGTGGAAAAACCGAAAACAAGTCACCAGTTTTTGCTGCAATCCTTGGTAGAAACATCGGTAAGTTAAAAGAGCGAAACCTCTCTTTTGTCCTCTCTTGTTCTTTTTCAGTCATCGAGAATGCTAAAGAGTCTCCCTTTTTTTTTTTTTTTTGAGATGTTCTAAACTTACTGTGGGAAAGGTACCAATCCTCCTTCCAGTCAAGAAGTGGGAATGGAAAGAATCCTCTTCATGTCGCTGTATGCACCGAATATAAGGATGGAGTAAACTTCTTATTGAGCAAACATCATTACTTGGCTTACCAGAAAGACAAACGAGGATTCTTCCCCATTCATTCGGCATCCCAGAAAGGCTTCATCGACATAATCAAATTGATTCTTCAAAATCGCCCAGATACACGAGAACTACTGGCTACGCGTGGACAAAACATACTTCATATTGCGGCCAGAAGTGGAAACTACAAAATTGTGGACTTTATGCTCAAAATGCCAGAGCTGGAGAAGCTTATTAACGAAAAAGATGCAGACGGAAATACACCTTTGCATTTGGCAACGATTTGTGGGTATCCCAAGTTGGTACACACTCTAATAAGGGATGAAAGAGTGATTATTGAGCTGGTAAACAATAACTATCAGACAGTGCTTGACATTGCTGCAGAACATATTGAACCAGAAATGGCATCGTTTCAGAAGGTAATCCCTTTTCATAGACAAAAACCGACACATACTATTTAATACGTATTAAAATGCGCTAGTCAATTTATAAATGCAGCAGCTAACATGGATGGCCCTAAGAGTTATTCGTGCCCCACAAGCACGTCAAACAAAGAATTTCAGTGGTATAAGTTTCAGGGTAGGGAACCAGACAGAAAAGGAACGTTGGAACGATAAGATCAATGTAATTCTGCTGATGGCAACCGTTGTTGCAACAGTGACATTTACTGCTGGATTCACCATTCCCGGTGGCTATAACAATACAAATCCAGAACAAGGCATCGCGACCATGTTGGAAAAAGTGAAGTTTCAGGAATTTGTGATTTGTGACATATTGGCAATGTACAGCTCCATCATTGTTGCTGTTATCCTCTTATGGACACAGCTGGGAGATACTAATTCCAAGCATGTTGCCTTAAAATTGGCTGTTCCACTACTCGGAATAGCCCTTGCCATGATGTCTATAGCATTCATGGCAGGAGTGTACCTTGTAGTGAGCAAACTCAGTTGGCTTGCTAACGTTGTGTTGTTCATGGGCACTATCTATGTCATTGCACTCGCAGTGCTCCTTATTCCTCTCTGTTTCATAGGATTATCAAACTGCCGCGTCTACTATTTCATCTATTATTATCCATTGGTCCTGGTGTTATACATAGTTGGAACCTAAGCACAGCCGCGCTGAAGTCTGGGATTGTCTCTAAAGGATAAGTATCTTATCAAGTTGTAAAAGTAAGGTATTGAAAATAAGTCAGTGCTTCATTGGGGTTGGAGATCAATTATCTGTTGGTCTCTCGAGTTTCTAGCACTGGAAAGATTGCAGCTGTTGTACTATACAGGGCTTGAAGAGTTAAAGAGTACTACTCTTTAGTTTACTATGAAAAAGCTTTAAAACCGTGCTTATATTATGTTATCCAAAAATAAAGAATGAAACACATTGTTAAAAACATCTATCACAGATTTGTGTATCACTTTGATTTCCCACTCATTTGCCTGTTGAATCATCATTTTTCGTACTGTTACACACGCTGTATACAATGTTCAAATGAAAGTTAAGTTCGGCCATCACACACTTCACTATAATGCTGTTGTACTATACAGGGCTTGAAGAGTTAAAGAGTACTACTCTTTAGTTTACTATGAAAAAGCTTTAAAACCGTGCTTATATTATGTTATCCAAAAATAAAGAATGAAACACATTGTTAAAAACATCTATCACAGATTTGTGTATCACTTTGATTTCCCACTCATTTGCCTGTTGAATCATCATTTTTCGTACTGTTACACACGCTGTATACAATGTTCAAATGAAAGTTAAGTTCGGCCATCACACACTTCACTATAATGTGTCCTCTCGTAGTTATACGTTTCAATCAAAGAAATATGTCCGCTCATTGGTGTAGCTGTGCATAAATCATCTAAAACGAACAAATGGTTGGAAACGAGAAGCAAGCTATAGAAAGGCCAAAAAAATTCTCAATCACGATTAAACCGATTACAAGAATGCCAATTATAGTACCTACTATCTTGTAGTTAAATTACTGCTGTTAGAAATTAAGTCAATTGTAATTACCCAATGATAGATCTGATACCACGAGATATAGGCAACAAGAAAATAATAATAACAGGAACACAAGATTTACGTGGAAATTCAAGACAGGAAAAACTATGGACAACAATAGGGTAATTCATTAATAAAGAATAAAGAAGGATTACAAATAATTTCTCTAGACCAAACTAATAAGTTGGACAATTGTCAATCTCAATATATGCTATACACCACATATTAATAATCAAAGATTCCCTAATACACTAGGATAATATAATACATTGAAGAGTCTAATATAAGGGGTAATCCTTGTCTACTAAGTCTAACAAATAATAGAGTATTTGGAATAATAGAGAAAAAACTATTTTAAAAAAGAGCAACCTTCTCCTTATCTGTCTTGGATTATTTCAAGACTTATTCAAGTCATGCTACCAACTCCCAATAGAACTCCTAATTAAATTTTTAATAGAATTCGTGTCACACCCAAATTATAACAATTATCCACCTTCACACAAATTCTGCTACAAGGATTAAAACTCCAATTTCCAACAAGAATTCTCTACCTAGAGATGAATTTCACTGCAAGGAATAGAACTCAACTCTTCAACAAAATCTTCCAACAAAGCTCTCTACCAAAACTTCTCTAACAAAATTCTCCACATCTTCTATAAAAGCCCTTAAGTGCAAACTCAACAAAATGTCAATTGAATCCAAACACTGTTTATCAGCAGGATTACCTTGGGTATCAAATTTGCTCGAGATTATAAGCACGAGCAACAAGACCATCAAGATCACAACTAACTCCATCAGATTTACCAAATTTTCTCTAATTATCACCACGAGCAACAAGATCACAACTAATGCCATGTAAGTCAATGCTTATCAAAGCATAAGAAACCAATTCAACCTCATTGAACCTCTCCTGAGGTCTAATATATCTTTTTTTTCAATTTGATGACAGTTGCATCAAACGTGACCGTTGAACCTTCCAAAACATATAACTGAGACATTATCTGCCCCTTTTATACAACCCAATCCTTATGTTACTTCTTCTCCAGCATCAAAGCATAAATCTGCAATAAAAATCTGGTGTTGCGATCTAAAAGCGGACATCAAACTTCATACTTGCCATCCCGAAACAATCAAACCCCATTCTGAGTTTATCAAACACCACTCTAATATGAAACAAAATTGATTCTCCTAGAAAATTGTTAAACCTTGGCTCTACACCACTTGTTACAAATTAAGCCAATTGTTATAACCTAGTGACAGATTTGTTACGGGCAAAGGAGGAGAATTTACTAAGAATCAAAATTTGGATTGTTATTACAAAGTTTGATGCTCTCAACCAAATCTAATGTTTTCTAATGCTATGAAGAGCCAACAAGTCGTGGAGTATATATACAACACTAATTATAGTGTTTTAGATGGAATGGGTATCTTAAAATTCATCAAAATTGTGAAACAGGCTTGGATCAAAATTCACCGACACTCAAGCGGTGCCTCCAAAGCTTGAGTGCCAAGCTCATGTGCAGCGAACACCTGACTCCCTATTTTGAGCTCTTGAGCAGAAGATGAGCACGGAGGAAGCCAAAATGCAGCGACTTTTTCTTCTTGGTCCATCTTTAGACTTTCTCAAGGCCTCTTCAACCAAACCATCGATACCTGATGAAATTCTAACAACTAATCTTCATGCTGATTTGTACAAAGTGATCCAATACTTCCGAATGAAACCATTTTCCTAAATTATATTCTTGCTTCCGTTGTGTAATTATATATTCAGGTTTCAAAACTAGTAAGAATAGATTAACAAAGTTGAAGAATTAAAAATATATTAAAATTCTAGTTTTGAAAATAAGAGTTACTATTCACTAAATTTCGTTATTATTTGCATTCATTTTAAAAAACTAAGCGAAGGGGACAAAAGACCACTAGTGTGGTTATTCTATATCATAATAACGAAAGAAAAATAAATGGGTGAGGCATAGACCTGACTTCCCACAAAGATAAAGTACAACAATAATCTCAAAATAAATGAAATAGTAAATACAATAAATAAATTAAACAAACAAAGTGCTTTCATGAGGGTATACCATTTTGTGATACATAGAATGGATTCAAGTATTTGGTCCAGTGGTGGCAATCAAGCCTAGTAACTCGTAGGCTCAAAAAAGCTCAACCCATGGGTGAGACGAGCCCAAGCACTGGCTCTGGCTTGTGGGTATGCTCACCTTTAACAGTGATCGTTTGGTCACTTTTTAAAGTTTGTGATCATTTGAAAAACAGTGACAAACTTTAAAAAAGAGATCATTGGCCTCCCAACAGTCCCTAAATCTTTATTTTTGTTTTCTTCTATAAATACTTCAAAAAATTTCATCATTTTTTTCACAATAAATTCAACAATCTCTTTACAATCTCTACATTCTATGATAAATCCTTGATTATTCAATTATCGAAAAATTCTTCTACTCTCTAGAATTATATTAGATACACAGATATTCATTCTCTTAATTCATTTTCTACATTATGCATTATTCAAATTATACATTTCATCTTTATTTTCTACACTACAGTCTAATTCTATGTTTATGTTATATAATACAAATGAATTATCATGATTTTTGAAGGCTTGTTCAGTGGCCAATCATCTATGATGTCACAATCTCAATTTTTCAATTAATTTGTTGGTCTGGACGACGTCCCCCTCCCCGATGATTTACCTGGATTGTACTTTGATGATGCACTTGGAAGTATTAATTAAATTGATTTAGATGACATAGATGAAGATGTCGATGAAGCTGAACTGTGAAATCTCGATACAAGAGAGAAGTGAAAAGGAAAGAAGCTGCAAAGTATTGGGAGCATTTTAAATTGATTTCAACCACTTATACAATCGACAGAATCGACGGCTATGAGGTGTAAATATTGTCAAATGTGATTAACATGACAAAAACATATTGGTGCTACTCACCTCAACTGTCACTACGCCAAATGTACTGCCAAACATGAACTTGTTGGTCAATCTCAAACACAACTAGCCTTTGGTATTCCTTCTAGTAGCGGTTTTTCAACACTAAGTATGTGAATGTACTTGGAGGAAAGAACTCATGATGGAATGGCGATGTTCGTCGTCAATGTGGAGTTGTTGCTAAGCATAGTAGACAATGAGCATTTCACAACACTCGTGAAAGAATATCTTCAATCATAGTGCAAAGGGATAAGTAGAAACACTCTTCACAGTGATATCATTAATTATTTTCTTAGAACTAAGAATCAGTTAATTAGTGATTTAAAAAATATGGTAGTGTATATCATTGACTTCGTATTTATGGGAAAGTATTAATAAAAAAAGTTATATAAAAGAAAGAGGGTTTTCAGAAAATATTAAAAGAATTCAAATCTAATTTCAAATTTTCAAATCTCAATTGCTTCGAGTCTTTTTCTAAGACGGGTCTAAATCTTTAACAAAAAAAAAAATTGATTATTTATTTTAAAAATCAAGCCTTTGAAAGTGAAGAATCCATTTCCTCAAAATCCAAGTATCATCAATGACAGTACCTGTAAAAAGTTGCACAGGTAATTAGGGTCTCGTTTGACCCCCAAGTATTTGGTATTATTGTTTTTGGAATAGTGTTTTTTTTTTAGAATGTATGGTTGAAAAAGAAGAAAATATTTTTGATTTACATATAATATTATTTTATGAAAAATTATGAGGTAGAAAATAAGATTAAAAAAAATTATAATATGAAATAATGGGAGCCAAATGGGGGCAAGATCGTGTACAATTTTAACTCCATCTACTTAAAAATAAGTAGGAGGTCCAAGTTCGGATAAGAGAAGGAGGGTCCAAAATATAATTTTAAAAGAAAAATTCATATCAATTTCAAATCTTAAGGTCCGTTTGATTGTAAGAATGAAATGTGGGTGGAAAAAAACGAATTTCAGAAAATTGAATTGCCTAGAACTTGTTTTATTGGGAACTGTCAATTAAATGTATTTGATTAGTATAATTTTTCACTAGAAAATGTTGAAATTTTGGATCTTTTTGTGTTCGTTTGACTTTGTTTTTCATGAAAATTATCAATTAAAAGGATAGAATTTGTTGTAATTATGGATAGAATTTGTTTTCATTGCCCAAAAAAAATAATAAAAATAAAAAAAAATTGGAAAACACTTTCTCACCAAAACCAAAGGAAAACATTTTCCTTAAAAACCAAGAATTTGGGTCAGATGGGGGTAGGGTGGAAAATGAATTCCGTGGAAAATTTTATCTATCAAACAACACATTTGGATGGAAAATAATTTCATTTTCCATGGAAAAGGCATGTATCAAACAGGCCCTTAATTCAATTTATTATTTCTACATTTTACTTCTTCAACTTTATAATTTCATATTCATACAATTCAATTATTCAAATCAAACATCATATAAATTCTATACATTCAATATATTAATCTAACGAAAAGAAATAACATCAGTATTTCAATTGTCGAGATAATTGTAGCCTAGTAGAAGGGTTACACAAAAAAAAATTCAGCTTGTAGGCCAAGCTTGGCTCGGCTCTGGCCTACGAACCACGAGCTCATTGGCCAAGTTCGGCTTGGCCTTTGACATACACTTAGCTTGTATTTGATGAACCATGAGCTTAATGGGCTTGAGTTGGTTCAGTTCGGCCCATTGCCATCACTACTTTGGTCTAATACATGTCCTGATCATAAAAGTCTAAATAGTTGAGGTTACTTGCTAGTGAAGGGTAATAGATGAGCCGAACTCATGGGTAATGGTCTCAAGCTAGCTCAGCTCAGCTCAGCCCATTGCCACCACTACTTTAGTCTAATACATGTCTTTATCATAAAAATCTGAACAGTAGGGGTCACCCACTAGTGAAGGGCTCCGCCTAAGGCATGGGGCCCAACTAGTGCAAATGGACCATCCGCGCAACATTCCCCTGTGTGTCGATCAAAATACTGATGCTTTAGGTCTTATGTACATCGACCTCATAGTTTTCTATGCAATCTCCCAAGACCAAACCATCTATGTTACTTTGAATTTACGTGTTCACATTATCCAGACTCATATGCATTCATCTTATCCGAAATCGAAACCGTGATGATAGGAATCAGTGGAGGTATAGGAGTACAAGTCTTGGAGGAGGTAGACTTTGATTTATCGCCTACTAAGCAAAAGACCAAGTCCTCAATTAAAGATCTCATAATGGACCTTAACTTTATATATTGTTGCCTATTGAAATGATCAATCAACATCAACTTGATAGTGGACTTGTCAATACCATTATTGCCCAGCATTCCTTTGAGAGAGATATCGATGTGATCTATGGAACAAAGGCAATGAAGGCAAGTCCAAGCAAAGATCCATTGATCGTTGAAAAAGGTCCTATGACTAGGTCGCGAGCGAAGAGAGTTAAAGAAGCAATGGAACTAATTGCTCAAGCCACGGTGGACGAAACATTGATCAAGGCAAGTAAGGAAATAAGTTTCATGTTGGACTCAAAAAAAAAAAAAGCAAGTTGGTTCAACGTGAATCAAGCAATGGACGGAGGGCTGACCAAGTTAACTATGTGACCACATAGCTTCATGCAAAATGTCAAAGAGGCAATTTAAGTGATCTATGTGATTGCATCCATAAGTACTATACGGCTGCATAGTACAATCTGGACACGAATTTTTTTAAATTTCGCATAATCTCCTATTTATATTAAAACTTTATTTTTTGGTATCTTTTACTATTTTTAGACTTAAATTTCATGTCAACTAAGGTTTATTAAGTTCTCTATAAATGGGACTCAACTTTAACTTTTGAGAGATATCATTGAGAGACATATTTTGCTTTCAATCCTTGTTCTTCATTGAACTAATTTTTGGAAGTTATCAATATTTATTTCTTGTAGTGTTCAAACAATTCGAGTGAAATTCTTGAGTCTTATGATCACTGGGTCAACATATTGCCGGCAACTATGTTGGTAATACATGGGAAGAATTGAAGGTTATCATGAGAAAGAGGTTCATGCCTAATCCTTACTATAGGGAGCTTCATCAAAAATTGTGAAACCTCTACTAGGTTCTAAGAGTGTGGAAGCTTATCATAAGCAGATGGAGATTGCTATGGTAAGAACGAATGTTGAGGAGGATAGGAAGGCCACCATGGCTTGATTTTTGAATATTTGAATAGGAAGATAGCTCATGTGGTAGAACTACAATATTATGTGGAGATGGAGGACATGCTAGATATAGCTATGAAGGTAGAGAGGCAACTATAGGAAGGGGACAACTAGAATCCATCAAGTTCTTTGGGTTCTTGTCCTTTTTGAAAATCAATATGGGATAACAACAAGGGAGACGGGACTGTTTTGAAGAGCATAATTGAACCACCAAAGGGAAAGAGGAAATTGCTAGCAAGGGCACATCCAAGGAAGAATCCCAACCATCTAGGAGTCGAGATATCAAATGGTTTAGGTACTTGGGATCGAGACACATTGCTTCTCAATGTCCAAACAGAAGGGCAATGATTTTGAGATACAATTGAGAGGTGAAGAGTGATAGTAAAGATGACTATGAAGATATGCCGGAATTGGAAGAAGCTAGTGATGGTGAGAAGTTGGAGTATGGCATGGGTGAGCTACTGGTTATGAAGCGAGCTCTTCGTGATCAAATCAAAGATGATGACTTGTAGCAATAAAAGGAGAACATATTTCATGTGAGGTGCAATATCGACGACAAGGTATGTAGCATGATTATTGATGGAGGTAATTGTACTAATGTGGCTAGCACAACACATGTTGAGAAATTAGGATTAACCATTTAAATGCATCCTAAGCTTTACAAATTGCAACGGTTGAATGAATGTAGAGAGGTTAAGGTGAATAGGAGGGTATTGATGAGTTTCCCAATTGGGAGATATCATGATAAAGTGATGTGTGAAAGTATTATTTCATATATATGTGGGGCATATTTTGTTAGGAAGGTCATGGCAATATGTAGGAAAGTGATGCATGTTGGGTACAAAAAAAATAGATATAGCTTTTACCAATGATGAAAAATCTATTATTCTTACACCATTAACATCAGCACAAGTGTATGAAGACCCGATCAAATTGAAAAAGTGAGGAAGAAAAAAGATTGAGAGAAATAGAGAGCGAGAGAGAAAAAAGTGAGGTGACTAGCAGTGAGAAAAATAGTAGAGCCACAGGAAAGAAAAGAAAAATAGTTTTCGAGAGGATAGAAAAGTCGAAAGTAAATTTCTTTGTAAAAGAGAGTGAATTGAAGAGTGCAGTAGTTGAGGGACAACCTATGATCTTGTTGGTTTATAAGGAGTCACTCCTCAATCTTGATAAATCTAACACACCCCTCCGTAGTTTGGTCACTTTTTTGTTGCAAGAATTTGAAGACATGTTTTCAGAAGACATGCCTAATAAGTTACCACTATTCGAGGTATTAAACATCAAATTAACTTCGTACCTAGAGCTATCATTCCAAACTGACTGGTTTACCAAAGTAATCTCGATGAGACTAAGAAATTTCAAAGGTAAGTGAAGGAATTAATGAGCAAGGGGTATATGAGGAAGAGTACGAGTCCATATGCCTTACCAATGTTACTTGTGCCGAAGAAAGTGGAACATGTAAGATATGTGTAGATTGTCAGGCCATCAATAATATAACGGTAAAATATCATCATCATAATCCTAGGTTAGATGATATATTAAATGAATTACATCGCTCATGCATATTTAGTAAAATGGATCTTAAAAGTAGTTATCACCAAATTCGGATAAGGGAATGAGATAAATAGAAAATCGCCTTTAAAACTAAATATGGGTTATATAAGTGGTTAGTCATCCATTTGGACTTATTAATGCACCTTGTACATTTATGCCATTAATGAATAATGTTTTATGTGCATTCATAGGTAAATTCGTAGTGGTTTACTTTGATGATATCTTGGTATATAGTAAGAACTTAAATGAGCATAAAGGACATTAAAGATGTGTACCTGTAGTCTCAAAACAAGAACAACTTTACTCTAATTTTAAAAAGTGTACATTTTGCATGAAAAAAGTTATTTTTCTTCGATATGTTGTTAGTGCAAGGGGGAATAGAAGTAGATAAAGAGAAAATCAAGGCTATCAAGGAATGGTCAACTCCTAAAAGCATAACTGAGGTGAATGGTTTGGCTAGTTTCTATAGGCATTTTGTTAAAGACTTTAACACAATTACCACACCACTCACGAAAGTTGTCAAAAAAGTGTAGGATTTCAATGGGGCGTAAACAAGAGCATGCATTTAACACTACTAAAAATACGTTGTTCAAGGCACTGATTTTAGCACTTCATAACTTTAATAAAACTTTTGAGATTGAATATGATGCCTCAAAAATAGGTATTGGAGCTGTTTTAATGCGAGATAGAAGGCCAATAGCTTACTTCAGCGAAAAACTAAGTGGAACAACTTTCAATTATCCTACATATGACAAGGAATAGTGTGCACTTGTTCGAATATTGAAAACATGGCAGCACTACCTATGGCCAAAGGAATATGTGATTCACACTGACCAGGAGTCCTTGAAGCATTAACAAGAGGCATGCAAGGTGGATGGAGTTCATTGAGGCATTTTCATATGTTATTTGATGTAACAAGGTAAAGAAAAATGTGGTGGCAGATGCCTTGTCAATGAGGTATGTATTTATAATTTCCTTTAGTGCTGAATTGCTAGGATTCGAATATGTTAAGAAAATGCATGCTATTGATTCGGCCTTTTTTAATATATACAAATCATGTGATAAAGGGGCTATGGATATATTCTTTAGACATGATGGTTACTTATTTCGAGCAAACAAGTTGTGTGTTGCTAAATGTTCAATGAGAGAATTGTTAATAAGAGAAATAAATAGTGGAGATTTGATGGGTCATTTTGGGGTAAAGAAGACCTTAGAGATACTAGATGAACATTTTTATTGACCTAAGATGAAAATTGATATTGATTGGTTTTGTGATAGATGCATCACTTGTAAAAATGCTAAGTCTAAAGTTTTACCTTAAAGCTTGTATACACCGTTATCTGTTCCTAGTGAACCTTAGGTTGATATATCTATGGAGTTTGTATTGGGTTTACCTAGGACTAAGAAAGAAAAATGTTCTATATATGTGGTGGTAGATAGATTTGGTAAGATGTCACATTTCATTCCATATCCTGAAATTGATAATGTCATTAATATTGCGGATCTATTCTTTAAGAAAGTAGTACATTTACATGGGATTCCTAGGAGCATTGTATCGAATAGGAATGTTAAATTCCTTAGTCACTTTTGGAGGATTTTGTGAAACAAGTTGGACACCAAGTTACTTTTTTCTACTACTTGTCACCCACAAATCGATGGGTAAACTGAGGTTGTTAATAGGACCATGACACAATTGTTACACACTATAGTTAATAAGAATTTGGAGAGTTGGAAAGAGTTCTTATCGTTCATTGAATTTACATATAATAGGGCTATGTATTCTACTACTTCTTTTATACCTTTTGAACATGTATATGATTTAAATCCACTAACACCTTTAGATTTAATTCATTTACTTGTTGATGAAAGAGGTAGCTTAGATGGAAAGAAGAAGGCCAACTTAGTGAAATCACTCCATGAAAATATAAGATTGCAAATTGAGAAGAAGAACAAGCACTATGATTCTCAAGTAAACAAAAGAATGAAGAACATGTCCTTAGAAGGATTGATGACAATGCCTACAAACTAGATCTTCCTGATGAGTATAATATTTCGGCTACTATTAATGTCTCTGATCTTCCTCTCTTTAATGTAGGTACAGATTCGAGGTTGAATCCTTTCGAAGAGGATAAGGATGATGTGATCCATAGAACGAAGGCAAGTTCGGGCAAAGATTCATTGATTATTGAAGAATGTCCTATGATTAGGTCGTGAGCGAAGAGGGTTAAAAAAGTGGAGGGCTACTTGCTCAAGCCACAGTAGACAAAACATTGATCATGGCAAGCAAGAAAACAAGTTTCATGTTGGGCTCGAAAGAAAAAAAACAAGTTGGTACAACATGATTCAAGCAATAGACGAAGGGCTGACGAATTAACTATACGACCGCATAGTTATTAAAGCTATACAACTGCATAGCTTCATGTAGAAAATTAAAAAGGCAATTTAAGTTATCTATGTGACCGCATCCATTAGTACTATGTGACCACATAGTACAATCTGGACACAAATCATTTCAAATTTCATGTAGTCTCCTAGTTATGTTAAACTATATTTTTGGTATCTTTTAGTATTTTTAGACTCGAACTTCGTGTCAACTAGTGTTTATTGAGTTCCCTATAAATAGAACTCATCTTTTTATTGTAAAGACAATTAAATTTTAAGAGATATCATTGAGAGGAATATTTTGCTTTCAATCTTTGTTCTTTATTGAACTAATTTTTCAAACTTATCAATATTTATTTCTTGTGGCACTCAAACAATTAAGGTAAAATTCTTGAGTCTTATGATCATGGGATTAACATATTATCGGGGATTATGTTGGTTCTTTGGTTCAATATTTTTGGATCAAACTCTAAACTTTGATTTCTTGGCTTTCTTGAGTTGAATCAATCTTATATGGGTTTCGGATCCAATCATCTCAATGGGAGCCACTGGAGATGCCTCAATAATTGTAAGAATCTGTGACGGAACCTGATGCGATTCCCATAGCAACGTTGACTACGAAACCCACAACGAAATTGACGAACCCAAGAAAGCCAAATTAATCCAAGAGTTTAGGATTAATCCAAAAGAAGTCGAACCAAAAAACTCAACAAGAACGACGCTTGAAAGACCCCTTGATCACGCAATCCAAGAATTAAATCCGATTGTTTGAATGCCACAAGTTAACACTTGATAAGTTCGAAATTGTTCAATGAAGAACGATGAAGAGAAGACAATACGTCTCACTTTTAATTCAATATCAATGATGTCAAAGGTTTTTAACAATTAAATGGAAACTCCTATTTATACTAAACCTAAAAACTAGGTAAAAATCGTGCAAAAGTCGAGTATAATCTCCAAAATATGGAAAAGAATCAAAATCTAACAAAATATGAAAAATTGCCAAAATTGGAAAATTCGCCAAATTTTTTGGCCTATGCGCCCGCATGGTGTAAATCCATGCGATCGCATGGTTCAACTGAAATTGCACTTTTGGTTTTCGGTATGCATGTATGTGGCCGCATGTGGTTTTGCCTGTGCAACCGCATGGTGTTGTCTTCAGCTTCCGCTTTCGTCGCTTGATAACAAATTGATCCAAGTTGATTCGACCTTCGACCCGAACGTGAAAGTTGCTCCATTTTGAGTCCCGAACATGGTTCCATCAATGGTTTCTTGAACGAGCAATCTCATCGCTTGTTTCACTTGCTTTGCCCTTGATCGCGTCATTGGTCCACCATCGACTATCAACGGGTCTCGTCTCACACTTGCCTTCATCAGGCTCGACTCCTGGATCATATCATCCCCTTCCTCTTCAAAAGGATTCTTCCTCGAATCTGAACCTGCATCAAACAGAGAGAGATCAGATACATTAAAAGTAGCCAAAACATTGTACTCACCTGGAAGGTCCAACTTGTAAGCATTGTCGTTTATCTTTTCAATCACTTGAAATGGACCATCGCCCCTCGGTTGCAACTTGGACTTTCTTTGCTCCGGAAACCGCTCTTTCCTAAGGTGCACCCAAACCCAATCTCCTGGCTCGAATGCCACGCGCTTTCACCTTTGTTCGCCTGCGATGCAACCAACTTACTTTTGTTTTCAATTTGCGCTTTTACCTTTTCATGGAGTGACTTAACCAATTTCGCTTTCTTTTTGCCATCTAAACTACCACGTTCATTCATAGGTAAAGGAATTAAATCCAAAGGAGTTAGTGGATTAAAACCATATACAATTTCAAATGGAGAATATGACGTAGTAGAGTGAACAGGTCGATTGTATGCAAATTCAACAAATGGTAGACACTCCTCCCAACTCTTCAAATTTTTACTGATTACTGTGCGTAACAATTGTGTCATAGTCATATTCACTACCTCCGTTTGCCCATCTGTTTGTGGGTGACAAGTTGTGAAAAATAGTAACTTAGTGCCTAACTTATCCCACAAAACTCTCCAAAAGTGACTCAAAATTTTGATAGCCCGATCCGACACTATACTTCTAGGAACTCCATGTAAATGCACAATCTTTTTAAAGAATAAGTCAGCAATGTTCGTGGCATCGTCAGATTTGTGACATGGTATAAAATGTGCCATTTTCTGAACCTATCTACAACCACAAAAATAGAATCCCGACCTCTCTTAATCCTAGGTAAACCCAAAACAAAGTCCATCGAGCTATCAACCCAAGGCTCACTAGGTGTAGGTAAAAGTGTGTACACCCCTTATGGTAAAACCTTAGATTTAGCCTTTTTACAACCTATGCATCGACTACAAATTCGCTCAACATCACTTTTCATCTTAGGCCAATAAAAATGCTCCTTCAATATATCTAAAGTCTTTTGAACCCCAAAGTGTCCCATCAATCCACCACTATATCTCTCCCTTACTAACAACTCCCGAATAGAACAATTAGGAACACATAACCTATTTTCCCGAAATAAATACCCCTCATGCCTAAAGAACCTATCAACCGCCCCTTTTACGCATGACAAATAAATATCCGAAAATTCAACATCTTTTTCATACAATTTTTTTTCATACAATTTCTTAATATGTTCAAACCCAAGTAACTTAGAATCAAGAGTAGTTAGCAATACGTACCTTCGCGACAACGCATCCGCTACCACATTTTCCTTACCTTGTTTATACCGAATGACGTATGGAAAAGTCTCAATGAATTCCATCCACCGTGCATGCCTCTTGTTCAATTTACCTTGTCCCCGCAAGTGCTTTAGTGACTCATGATCGGTGTGTATTACAAACACCTTCGGCCATAGATAATGTTGCCAAGTCTCCAAAGCTCGAACGAGTGCATAAAGTTCTTTGTCATATGTAAGATAATTTAAAGCAGCTCCACTCAATTTCTCGCTAAAGTATGCAATAGGCCTCCGATCCTGCATTAAAATTACTCCAATCCCTATTCCTGATGCATCACACTCAATCTCGAATGTTTTATCAAAGTTAGGTAATGCCAAAACAGGTGCTTCACACAATCTACCTTTAATAGTATTAAATGCAAGCTCCTGTTCATCACCCTAATGAAAACCTACACTCTTTTTAACTACTTCCGTGAGTGGTGCGGTGATAGTGCTAAAATCCTTCACAAATCGCCTATAAAAACTAGCCAAACCATGAAAATTCCTAACTTCCGTTATGCTTTTAGGTGTCGGCCAATCTCTACTAGCTTTTATCTTTTCACCGTCTACTTCTACCCCATTAGCACTAACCACAAATCCAAGAAATATAACTCTATCCATACAAAATGTGCATTTCTTAAGATTAGCATAGAGTTGTTCCTTTCTTAAAACAATTAGCACACATTTTAAATGTTCCAAATGCTCTCCTAGGTTTTTGCTATAGATTAAGATGTCGTCAAAATAAACCACAACAAATTTTCCTATAAAAGCACGTAAAACATGATTCATTAAACGCATAAAAGTGTTAGGTGCATTTGTGAGTCCAAACGGCATAACCAACCATTCATATAAATCATATTTACTTTTAAAAGCCATTTTCCATTCATCACCCTCCCGCATACGAATTTGATGATACCCGCTTTTTAAATCAATTTTAGGAAATATGCAAGCACCATGTAATTCATCAAGCATGTCATCTAACCTAGGTCTATGGTGACGATACTTTACCGTTATGCTGTTGATAGCCCTACAATCTACGCATATTCGCCCTGTTCCATCCTTTTTTGGTACAAGCAAAACCGGTACCGCACAAGGACTCATGCTTTCCCTCACAAGGACTCATGCTTTCC